CCTCGGACCAGGCTGTCCAGTCCTCGGGACGCGCCTCGCACTTTGTGCGGCAGGGGCAGATGCGATCTCCCCATATCTCCCACATCCCACCCGGCGCACGCACATCTCCAAGCACCCGCCCCTCGCCGTCGCATTGCCCGCCACACGCCTCGCGGAAGAGACGCGCGCCCCTGGGACACGCCCCCTGCGGCACCACACCCTGCTCTCCAGTGCTCTCCAGTGCTCTCCGGTGCTCTCCAGTGCTCTCCAGTGCTCTCCAGTGCTCTCCAGTGCTCTCCAGTGCTCTCCAGTGCTCTCCAGTGCTCGATGCCCCTCGGGCGCGCACGTCCGAGGGCCCGGTGTTGGCTCCCTCTGCAGGTGCGGCACGTGTTGCGCGCGTGCGAGGCGCAGGCGCGCCGCATCGCCGCCGACGCGGCCGCCGCCATCCGCGCCGGCCTGCTGCAGCCGAGCGAGGCCAACAGCCGCGAGGTCGCCTCCCACGACGCTCCCCGCACTCTGTCTGCAGGCCAGCTGCAGCTGAGCGAGGCGCACTTGCGCGACCTGCGCTCCGTCGCGAGCATCGGCAAACTGCTGCTCGCGCTCGTGCCGCGCGCCGAGGCGCGGGCCGTGGAGGCGCCGGCCGGCCGAGACGTTCCGAGAGACCGACCGAGGCGGTGCGAGGCCGTTAGGCGCAGACCGGCAAGGAGGCGCCGTCGGGCCGGCTGGGCAACAACCCGCTCACGGGCGAGAAGGAGGTTGAGACGCCAAAGGCGAGCGGCAGCAAGGCCGCGGGCGGCAAGAGCGGCGGCGGCGGCAAGAGCGGCGGCGGCAAGGCGGCGGCGGCCAAGAGCGGCGACCGCACAGCGATGGCATCGCGGCTACAGCTCGTCCTCGACGCGGCGGGCGCGTGCGTCTCCGCGCTGACCGGATCGCCCTCCTTGCTGCCGCTCGGGACGATGCTCATGCCGACGGCCACGCCGGCGGCGGCCTCGCCGGCGGCGGCCTCGCCGGCGGCGGTAGGCTCGCAGGCGCCGACAAGCGTGGACGTGCGCTCACCGGCCGAGGGAGCGCGGCGTCTGGCGGGAAGGCGCGTCTCTTCACGACGGCGCTGGACGTGAGCAGGTGCTGGCGCTGGCCGAGGGGCACCTGCTGCGCGAGCTGCTGCCGCTGGCGGAGAGGCTCGCGTACGACGACTCGCACCGCGAGGCCCCCCCCCTCATCCCCCCCCCCCTCCCCCCCACATCCCCTCTTCAGCCCCTCTTTCCCTCCCCCCTCCCCCTCTCCGCCCCCCCCACTGCACAGCACGCGCCCCTCACCCAGCCCTGTTCATCCCCCCCCCAAGCCCCCTCGCCCACCCCCAGGCGGAGGCGGCCACGGCCATCGCGGCGCAGCTCTGCGCCGTCCTCCCCGCCAGCCGCCTCAAGAAGCCCCTGGCCTGGTCGGCGGCGGTGCTGCGGCGCGAGGCGCGCACACCCGCCGACGGGCGGCGGCGCGCAAGGCCGCGGAGACGGGGTGGGCGGGTCGGCGAGGCGACGGGTACCCGCGTAGGCGCACCTGTCGACGGCGGTGCGCAAGGCGTTCCTCGCCACACACCTCCGCCTCGAGCGCGCGAGCGGCACGCACCGCGCCGGCAGCCTCTCCGTCGCCAAGGAGTTGCACCACTTGCTCGGAGACAACCTCAAGGACGAAGAGCCGGGCGAGGGAGCAGCCGAGATCTCCCGAGATCTCCCGAGATCTCCCGAGATCTCCCGAGATCTCGAGATCTCCCGAGATCTCCCGAGACTCCCCGAGACTCCCTGAGGTTTTACCCAAGACCACACGACCCGACACTACACGAGACCTCCCGGCCGCCTCAAGGACGAAGAGCGAGGGCGGTGAGTGGCTACGTGACCCACGTGACCTCTCTGCTCTTCTCTCCTCCCCGCAGCTCCTCACGCGCGCGGCGCGGTGTGACAGGCGAGCGGCCCGAGAAGCTCGAGATGCTCGAGGAGGGGAGCGCCAACAGCGTCTCCGCCACGCTGCTCGAGGCTGTCGAGGTCGGCTTAGCTTTGCCGAGACTCGCCGAGATTCGCCGAGATTCACGCCGGCCGTCGAGGGCGAGATTCGCCGAGATTGGTCGAGATTCGCCGAGATTCGCCGAGACTCGCCGCGATGAGGCGGCCGGGGCTGAGAGCCGACACGAGCGCTCCTCCGCTCGCCTCGCCTTGGACAGGTCGAGCTGGGCGAGCTCTCGCAGGCGTACGCGCACCTGTCCCGCGTCGGCGAGGTGCGCGGGGCCGACGCAAAGGGGGGGGAGGGGGGGGGGGTGGCGCGAGGCGTGAGTCGCCGCCCACGTCACGCTTTTTCCCCTCGGACCAGGCCGCGCGCCGGCCGGAGGCCGACGACAAGGAGGCCGAGCGCGCCGCCGACGCGCTCGAGCGCGCGCTCTGCGACCGGTACACGCAGGTGGTGTCGGTGCTGCGCCTGCTGCTCAAGTCTCAGATCGAGGGCAGCCCGGCGCAGGGCCTGCTGAAGCTGTGCACGGCCCTCTTCAAGCAGCTGGACGCCGTGTTCAAGGGCGTGCGCGGCGGCGGCGGTCCAGGGCGGGAGGCGCGGACGCGTCTCTTCACGCGCGCACGCGCTCCGAGTAGGCGTGATGGCGGTGGACAAGGGCAAGAAGGGCGCGTCGAAGCGGCTCGAGGCGCTGCCCTCACGCCCCCTCCTCTCGGCTCCATCTCGGCTGCACCTCGGCTGCACCTCGACGGCTCGGTTGCACCTCGGCTGCACCTCGGCTGCACCTCGGCTGCACCTCGGCTGCCCCTCGGCGGCACCTCGGCGGCACCTCGGCGGCACCTCGGCAGGCGCTGCTCTCGCACGTCTGCGGCGAGACGGGTGTGACGCTAGCCATGTACGGCCTCCTCTCCTTCTCGACCTCGTCTGAGGACACGGCGGCGCGCGTGGTGCGCGAGGCCAAACTCGTGCCCGCCCTCGTCTTTGCTCTCGAGAAGTTTGAGGCGCCCGCCGCCCGGTAACGCACGCCTCGGCGAGCTTCGGCGAGCCTCGGCGACCGTCGGCTGTAGGCGACCGTCGTCAAGCTCTCCAAGACGTCGGAGCGCGACTTGCTCCGCTTCATGAAGCGGACCACCGCGCGCGACTTCAAGATCCAGGCGGAGGGGGAGGCTGGCGCGCCACCGGCGCCTTGCGCCATCTCGGCCAGCCTCGGCGCAATCTCGGCTGTAGGCGGAGGAGGTGGCGAATGCGATTCGTCGCAAGGAGGACAAGGCGGAGAAGGAGAAGGAGAAGGAGAAGGGCAAGGGGAAGAAGCGCAAGGCGGCGGCGACGCCGAAGGGCAAGGGCAAGAAGGGCAAGAAGGCCGCCGAGGAGGAGGAGATGGATGAGGAGGAGGCGGAGGAGGACGAGGACGACGAGGAGGAGGGGGAGGAGGAGGAGTGAGACGGCGCTCCGTTGGCCTCCCCGCAGGTTCGGCCTCCCTCAGACGAGCATGGTCGTGCGCCAGCCCACGCTGCGCTGCTCTGTGGGAGTGGCGATGAGCTGCGGGGGCACGAACCCGCCGGCACAGCCAGCGCGCGTTTCGCAGCTTGCTTTTGTTTGGTCGCGCGCAGGGACGCGGTGGAGCGGTGACAACATCTGGCCGTGCGTTCGAGTCTCGAAGGTGCCACGCGACCAAACCACGTTCCTCTCTCTTTCCACTTTCGTCGGTGGCATACGTACGTGATATCTCTCTGCATGTGAGCTGTGAGCGGCGTCGCGTGTCGGCCACACTGGACGACGCTCCTGCCTGTACTGTCTGACCTCTTATTACGTCCCTTTTATCTCGTCGTGTGAATTAGGGGTGTAGAACCCCAACGGGAAACCGCAGCTTGCTTTTCTCCAGCCCGTGTCGCAATTACTATTAGCGTTGTAAGATTCGCATCGGGCTTCGTACTATTAGCGGCGGGAGCGCGCTCGTTTTTGCGGCCGGGCGATCCGCGCCATGGCGGCGCCGTCCTTTCCCGCGGGTTCAACTTCTCTGCCCGAGATGAGCCAATGCCATACAGCGCCCCCGCCACGTCGGCTCTATGGTGTTCCGTGGAATCTATTCAGGGCGCCATCCGCCTCCAGGTTGCCGAGTTCGCTGGAACCGCACCTGCCCTTGCCAGGGCCTGGTCAAGGGGACAGGGAAGACAGCATGAATGGCACTCCCAGCACGCCACGGACACGCCCGATGCCCCGGCCTCCCTCTCTAAATGATGACGAGAGCTGCCTCGACCATGGAGTCAATGGGCTCACTATTCGGCCGACCGCGTTCCACTCCTACGCCAAGCCCGAGATGGCGCTGCGCTTTCGCGACGGCTGCGCGGAGGTGAACCTGGAACGGATGCTGAAGTGCAGGCTAAACGGCTTGCAGGTGGGTGCCCGGGTGCACGCGTGGGTCGCGTGGGTCGACCACGCGAGCAGCTGCCGCTCCAGCCTGGAGGACGCCCTCGATTTCGGCTCAAACGGGTCGCGGCTCCCGGTGGTGTCCGACGAGAAGGGCAATGCAGAATTCGATTTCAAGCTCTCGAAACGGGTCTTCCACGGCAAGGCTGGCACTCTGCGCCGGCCAATGAGGCTCTGCGTAGAGGTGCGCGGCGCCGGCGTGACGCGGACCATCCTTTCACACCCCTTCAAGGTCCTTTCAAAGTTCCATGACTCTGGCAGTGGAACCGTGCTGCAGCCCGTCCTTGTAAGGGGGTTGTCAACGCTGCCGGCCACTGCAACGCATGCCCTCCAGCACCAGTCCCAGTGAGCCGCGTGCCAGCATAGCCGGCGTCCCCCTCGAGGCACTCTGCGCCACCCCTCATCTGTGCCACGACGAGGTGCCTGCTCAGCAGGGCAGCGCGGGGAGATCGGCAAAGCCGACTATGGTGCGGCGCGCGTGTGCCGGGGCGGCCCCGCCGCGCTTGCGCGCTCGTGGCCCCGGCCCCGCTGCGCGGCCTGCGCCCACAGGGCGAGCCCCCCTACCGTACAACTTCAACTACAAGCAGAAGAACAGCAAAAAGCGAGCGCCCCACGCCCCAGTGCGGTCGCCCCCTTGCCCCACCACCTCGTGTGTATGGAGTTACCTTACCTTACCTTACCCCAGTGCGCAGTGTTGGCCCCACCCCCACGCCCCAGCGGGCGGTGCCCGCCGCGCGTACAAACTACAATATTATCAATAACAATACAATAATCAATATGAATAAACACTATATAAAAAGACGTATACGGCTTTATCTGTAACGTGTACCTAAGATGTAAGAGTGAGATCTGAGAAAATCAACCGCGACAACGCTCAACGGTAAGGCTAAGGGCTAGTTTTACTTACGAGACGAGGGCTATCGCGTTCGGTCGGCTTTGTGCACGATGGCAAACCGGGTGTGAGCGAAGTCGCCTCTATTTGTCACTCGCCATGCGCGTCCTTGGCTGACCCTCCAAAACTCCCTCCCCCGCCGTTCGCGGCTCGGCTTGCGTATGCGGATGGGAGCTTCGAGGACATGCAGGCGTCCCACCCCCTCCGGCCATCCCCCCGGCTCCCAAGCGCGCGGCCGCGACGCGCTGCGCACCCTCTTCCGCGCTGCACCCGCTCTCGGCATGGCCGTCGTCCGCCGAGATCACCTCCTCTTCGCGCCGCAGGTGCACAACCAAGGGCTTGCCACCTCCGTATCCATCATGATGAAGCCAATGGGCCAAAATCGGACTCCGCTCCCCTCCCAGGTGGCCGGAGGGTACACCTCGGGTCGGCGTGCTGGGGGGGGCGCCGGTGCGCAAGCCCACTTTCCGGGCGACCCCGAGGGGGAGGAGGCCGGGCGAGTGGCAGCAATTCACTGTTAGTGTCCCGGGCCGCTGCGGCACCGTTTATACGGCCCCTCGTGATGTCTTTCCGATTTTGCATTGTGAGTCGTCCTCTGGCCAGCCGAGGGGCACCAGAACGGCATGTGCACTGCTGCTGGCTGCGGGTGCGGAACGGGCTTTTTTTAACTCGCAACCAAGCATACTATACAAGGACACCCTCGGGGGGGACACTCGGCGCATGTGCGACGCGTCAGGGTGGAGTTGGCTGTGGCCGAGCGTCGTCTCCAGATCGACTCGCAGCGCGGAGTCGAGGGGTGAAGCGCGTCGCGCTGCGACACTCGAGAGCCGGCGGGATGGCCGTAGGGTGCAGCCGACTTTGATGTCCTCGAAGGTCCGGTGCGCATTCGTCCTCTGAGACCCACGCGTACAGGAAAGGGGCGAGAACGAGGCCTTTTGAGGCGGACATTTTGGGGCGACATCCTGCTAGCGCGTTCCACACAGTGTGTTACGGCACGTATCTGGTATCTCGGCCCCACTAAAAAAGAGAGAGCGGACGCCTCTCGCTATTAGACTGTACGGAGGGACCGACCAGTTCGGGGCCGGAGAGAGCGAGCCTCGAGGAGTAGTATAGAGAGAGGGTCGCGCGCGGATCCCGGAGAAGGCCACAGAGAGGGCAGACGCCGCCGTGCTGCGCAGGGCGATGGCGGTGCGTCCGACCGGTGCGTCCGACCGATGGCGGTTGCAGACTTGCTGCGATGACTGAGCGATCGCTCAAAGGAGGGGGCGAGGGAACCCCCCCCGCGCCCTCCCCCCGCCCAACGCGTCAGTCGTCCGCCGCGGACCAGTCGTCGTCCTCGTCCTCGTCCTCGTCCTCCTGCTCCTCCTGCTCCTGCTCCTCCTCCTCGCGCTCGGCCTCGCCGCCCTCATCGGCTGCGGGCGGCGGCGCGGGCGGCGCGTGTGGCGCGGGCGGCACGGGTGTGGTCGCGCTGCTTTGTGACCCCCCGGCTTGCGATGTCCCGGCTGTGC